AGGTGATATTTGTAACGGGATCAGCAAAATTGTTAAGAATGAAATCTCGCACATCATTCGCAATATCTGATGCTGGTTTCGTACTTAGACATCCTTCTGGATTGTCAGACAGGTTTATGTCTAAATCATGAACGCCGTATCTCAGACTCGTCAAAGATAACACCTCAAAGTTCTGTCTGAGCCAAATAAGACCCTTCCCGTGGTTTCCTGACACATGGACCCAAGTAAAGGGCTGAGGGGTATCCACAGAAATAGGGATTGTTCGACTAACATTGCTGAAGGAAAATATCATGAACAGCATATGGTATCCAAGCTCGAGTGCTTGCTCCAAATCCTCACTGTTCTTATCAGCAGATATGCTACAAGGTGAGGAAGAAGTAGTCTGTCCATTGACTACTAAACACATCATCATAAACAAAACGGCAACCATCCTTACTCCATCCATACCTAACACATTTCCCATGTCTGATTTGAGTGTTGACTAGAGGTCCTATCTTATATTAGTTGATAGGGTACTCCGTCAATCCTGAAAAAATAGAAATGGCGTTATATCTCTAAAAAGTATACTTATCAATATGTACAAAAATGATCGCAAATTGGGTGTAACAAATGCCTACAAATAGTTTATTTTCTTAAATGTATAACTGGTTATAATCTGTTTAAAACATGTCGTATACTTACTGCTAATCTATCATTATGTTGCAGATTGTTTTTGATTTTTTAAAACTTAACGTCATCAATTTTGATTCAATTAACGTATTTCATGTCGTGTGATCCATGCAACCAACACGTTATAATATACAATGTACGTAAAGTTACAAAGTAAAAAAACATTGCATATGTATTACTAGTCACTTAAGACTCCGGGTAAGACTCGTTAACTATTTCACGTTACGTAATTTCACCATAGGATTCTCTGGTAATTTACTTTTTTCCGGAACCTTTATTTTACATCCAATTTAGATAAACCTTACTATCGTGATAGGTAAAATAATATCTGGGGCTTTGTGCCAAATTTCATCACTTTGTGACAAGAAACAAGCCAGGAAAATTAATTTCAGAAAAGTGAAATAACATAGAATCATGTGGGAAAATGACGTAACGTGAAAGTCTTATGGCACTTCACTCAATATAGAATATCATAATATTGAGAGAACCACATTGGACATGATTGTAAATATAATACTTCTTTTATCAAAAAAATAATCTTTTATTTCAAATTATACCATGTCTTTGATGCAAAAAAATGTAAATCATCTTAACATACCATTAAGATAGTCACAGGCGTTTGCAGAAGGACCACAATATAATAAAATATTTTCCTTTCTATCTACCTATTCACATAATATCTACCTTGCTTATATAAATGTACTAATCATTTGTAATGTGTCATTAGCAAAGGTAATTAATTTAGTTTCAAATTCAAAATTTTGCTTGTATCATACAACTGTTTTGGTGTCGTACTAAGGGGATACGTATAAGGGTTTTTAATGTGCTGTAAATGAGAGGAGGCATAGCTGATTAATTTCGTTCGTACAATAAGTGTTAAATTTTAGCGTTTTTCACTTAGAGACATAGGCATCCTTCAGTGGACGTCAGTATCTAGATTAAATAGGCGAGTTTGTCGCTTTTTTATGGAGGGGGGGCGGGTGGCGACTGCATATGCACAGTTCACCCTAAATGAACGGTTTTGAAGAGACAAGTAGAGTTTACTATAATTCTGAAAGATTTAATATATTTAATATAGTTAAATATGAAGATGATTCAACAAGTTTTATTCATGCTGTGATTTTAAAAAGAACGCGTTCATACGAAATCTAAACACAGAATAGCAATAAATGAGCATTGAGAACATCTCATAGCGTCTTATGATTTCTATTGCGCCGATGGGTTCAGTCTTGCCTGGTGTACGTGATTCAGCACAGCACACTTAGCCCTCATATATGAATATCATTAGGTGTGCATATACAAGTGCAAGCACAAGTAGCATACATAAAGAGTACTGTTTGTACTGGTAAAACAGATTCTCCGACGTGTATGTATACTGATTAAGTGGCTGTTCTCACGTTTCCTGGACGACGAATTCCCCCAACTGTGGGTTATGGACGGAAGTTGTGTACCTGCTGACAAATAATACATTTGAATTTCTGAGGGAAACGTTTTCTGTTGTTTAGGTAAACTGCAGTAAGCAACTTATGAAATTATTATGCAATATGCACGTAATGTGATATATATTAAGATGTGAATACTTCTGGACAAGGAGGTAATTAACAGTGACATGTCAGACGCTTACACCCCGGACATTTTTTGTTTTAAGTGATAAACCACACAATATCCTATTTAGCTGAGATTAAACGCTTTGTTTTAAAAATATTCGAGTCATTGATGTTTATTAAACACATACATACACACACTGTTATACACTATTTTGAATATAGATATCCATTAAATTTATGCAATCTAATCCATTTTGATATTTGACCTTACAAAGTGGTTCATTATCTACAATAAACAATAACCATTTCAATATTATATAAATGTGCTTCTTGTGTGAGCCTATATGTTAGTAATCGATTTTGATGAGGTCATCGTCAGTTATACAATGAAGACTTCAAAAATAAAATCTGAAAGGTGTGATAATAATATGCATGCACGTCTATTATATTTGTTATAGTGTCGGGGTCTCAACTGTTTCAATGAAGACCTTCACTGTAGGGCTTAATCCCTGAATGGAGCGCAAACATCGAGCAGATTCTGTTAGCATGAATTTGTTTATAAGGTTAAGCCATATCAATATTTTTACACAGAGACCAAGTTTGAAGGGGAAGGGTAGGCCCCGAAGCCGATCCTGGAAGCATATATGTATTAGCTTTTTCTAGAAATATGGGGTTGGGGATCTCAAATATTTCATAAGCCAGAGACTAAGTCACAAGAACGGTGAAAGACCCTGAGATCTAGCCTGGTCGCTGTTCATAGGTTGCTGATTGAAATTCTCAGAGTCATGACGATGTGGCTTAACACCTAGGTCTGTGGCAAGACCCTGAAGTCAATTCTGATATCATGGTTGTGTAAGTATCCCATACCCAGCAATTGTATATACATGTATGGTTATAGGATAGGAATCTGAACCGTTTTAAAGTTATGACTTAGTCAAAGTATCTAAGTATGAGGCAGGCTATTGGAACAATCCTGGTCAACATATCTTTACTTTTTTATACCTTGCAATCAAATATATAGTTAAAGGGTAGTGATCTCAATAATTTCCGAGCTCTAAGTTGTCTTTGGTCCAGCGCCTTATCCCCGAGGTTCAGCCCTTTAATAAGTACGATATTGAATCACCACAACCAGAGAATGCGCCGAACCAAATATGGTTGATATTCATCCCTAAGTTCCAGAAACAAATCCCATAAAGCAGCATGCCAAATTTCCTTTTTCGACTCTGTTTCTAAGACCCTGGGTAGGGGTTTACAGTCCTTCATTTTGAATCCCCGCCTGCAAAAAAGCCTTCCCATCAAATTTGTTGAAATGACATCAAGTGGTTCAGAAGAAGTAATTCGTACAAATTGTTGACGGAAGGACGTACCGGATGAGCTAAAGAAATGAAGTGATTCAATATACCAGTACTGGTATCTATTACCGCGTTTTATTTTAATATGCAGTGATTTGGTTCAGTAGGTGTATGTGGGTGTTGCATCGAGCATGGACCGATCAACAAGTTTTGTCAAGGCAATGCTACAATGCCATCTCCATAAGATAGGAAAAGGGAAACACCTTCGTGTGCCTATGTCTATAATGTACATATACCTCATTGTCAAGCCATAAAAGAATATAATTGAAAGAAAATGCATTACTATCACTTAATTGGAGTTAATAAAGCATTAAGTGAAAAGATTATGTATTTAGAGTGTTATTTATTGCAACTATATAGTGTGCATAATGCAAATATTACATGTATATGTTATTGAACTTAATTTATTCCATTCCTCATAATGCTTTCCTTATAAAGCATATAACATCATTTCGATAGATAGTATTATTTAAAATGTACAAACTTTTTTGAGCAATGATATAGTAAAATAGGTCATTCATTTTTATGCAACATAGAATCAAATTAAGATATGTCACATTGTAGATTCATCAAAATACCGTGTTTTGTTTTCTGACACTACAGTTAAAACAGATATATTAAGCGATCTCTCTATGCCATTGCATTGGCCACTTACATGTGTATAGGGCAACACTTCACTCTAATTTATGGGAATCCCTTATTTCTCAAAACTATTCCCTTTCTGTCCCTTCCGTGGACCCCTGTAAGACCTTTGTTTACACAATTACTCCGTTAAGCTCATAAAAGGATTAATTAATTATCAATTCTATTATCATTAACCAAAACTTAGCTAACTAGCTGGTGCATCCGGAAGGGGATGGGGGAGGGGGGTTACGTTGTGTTGAAAGGATGACGCCAAACAACATACTTTCGCTTCGCTGTGGCATATGCTTTTTATGCTTTTGGGCACAGACGAGCTATATTTCTGGAGAATAAAATCAGGTAGACACATCGCAAAAATTTGTTGAAAACCTCTATTTTCTATGATGTTTTAAAACTACAAGTTCTACTCTAATGTAACGTCGGTTTATACTCGCTACACGGATCTATATTTAGACTGTTCAAAATAACTATAACCAAATAGAATGTATACAAATGCAGTTTATATCCATTTCCTGTTTATAACGACACGCTTTCAACGAGATATCTGAACACAGTTCGATTCGTCATCATTATCATTTATGTATACGTTTGTATGAATCAATATTCTAAGAGTTTGTTTAGTATTAGAAGTATATATTTCACACACTTACCGAACAGTCTCTCCCTCGTCTTCGTAAGGAAACAAGCTTCAGTGGGATAGAAAATGAGTTTAGCAACTATTCTACGGTAATTATATTAAAGAAATAACACCATCAGAATTGTTCTTTTTTTAACGAGAACATATATGTCATTATTCCAATTCGAAATTTCAATTCAGTGATAACGCATTAGTTTTCTCTAAAATGATAGGTTCATCACAGTTCCGAATTGACCTGTCGTGCCACATTATTATGTGTTCATGCATAAACAAATGTTTGATGTTTATGTACAGCATTTAGTGGTTAAATCTATGGAAATAATTGAAAGGCAACTAGTCCTAATTAAAGTAATCAGAATAAACAGGTTCGATAGTGAATGTTTACCTTATACGCTTATGTGTATACAATCTGAGGAGGGATCCTGCCCCACGCCGTATAATCTAGGTCACATCCCCTTACTGCAGTACAAAGCCTGGTTAGCTTTACACTATTGGAAACAAAAACATTATATACATGTGTTCCTTAAAGGTAAGTGAGCATACCTGTCACAAAATACAATTAATATATGCTCATCGACGTAATATGTGTATTTGTTTTTTCATAAAGTTTACAACATCATGACATACATATATATAATTTACTTTGACATACCAATATCTAGCAGACACGCATGATAGCGAATGTCACCGACAGTGCATTGTGTATACAAAATATGTTAGCAGGGCTGTGCTAGTACGTTCCTCATCACTTTGGTCGATCAGCTATAATGCAGAGTATAGTAGGAATCTACAGTTTTATGACATTATCGTATCCCAGACAGCAGACATTGTGCATCCTGTATAATGTATTATTGAGTTTAAAGCGATGTGATGATCCAAATAGCACAGATTATAAAAATAGAACATCGACGTATGTGTGTAAATGCGAAATATAGTTGATGTATATAAACAGTCCTTTTCCCGACAGCTTTTGTTTAATAAATCTATAGATTGATGCTGATCAATTATTTGTGGTTTGTTATAAAACCAATAAAACGATGACTTATC